TAAACTTTAGTAAAAAATGTTTTGAATTTTTATATAAATGCGAAGAAACTTTTTACCAAATTATCTGATTGTGTGAGGAACATTAGACTAGGTGAAAACCGCGACCTATATACCAGTAATATTCTTCAACACTTAGCATTGAAACGTGATTTACTGTAAACATAAAATACACCAGATGTGGTATCTCTGGGCGGCCAGATTGAGGATAATTGTAATGCCTGGGTGGTCGCTCTATGTCTTTGTTTACGTGAACAGATGAAAACGTGTTCCTCCACGAAGATTTTACTGCGGAAATCTCGAAGAGATAAAAATAAAAGGTACTGCGCTATTGCAGAATATTAAAACTGATATTTACACGAACTCAAGTGTTGCTATATTCAAAATACGAATAGTTTACGACTTAATTATTTTAAATAATTGTTGGCTAAACAAAATGAAAAAAAAAAACCAATTACAAATCTGATTTTGCGTACAATTTCGCTTTCACGTGACCTCATAAATTTTCCCTTTACACACCCTAACGGTAACACTGACATACAGGCTTGACACACGGTAGGGGAATTGAAAAATTATAAAACATACCTCGGGCATTGTGATATGAATAAATTATAACAGCTCACAACTTCACGGCCAGCATAAACAAAACTCTGGCACCTCACTGAACGTTGGAAATTCTTTCAGAGCCGAGGGAAATGGTAAACTTACTTCGGACCCAATTAAAGTGGCCAACGAACGACCCACTTATGCTTGTATTCTCGATATTGTTGTACCAGATCTGTAGTAGGTTAGCAGAACCTTCATTCTAGGATTATTAAGTTGCCTTAATGGAAATACGCTATGAAAATAGGTTGGTTGTGTTGTATTCAATATTTGCTATATGCTACTATCATTAGTAGGTTCTCGTGTAATTTATAACATTATTTACCTCAAAATATATTTTGTCTCGTATGTTTTGTCTATCTACATCATTATAATATTCTGATGTATTCACAATCTGTTTAATATTCATATTAGTTTCAGGAATTTAGAAAAATTAAAAAACTAAGATCAAATATGATACAAAATCTTAGCGATGTTGTTGTGTCATTTTACTGCTTTGACATGTCTTTTGATGGATAAGTTTGTTCGCCATCTTTCATTGTTTCAGTAATGTGTTGACGCAAAGTGCCATTAAAGTTAAGAAGAAGAAGAAGAAGTACATGTAGAAATTAATTTATTTACTTTACATTGGCAGAATTGCGAAATGCGCAGATAAGCCATCAATAAAAGAAGAAGAACAAGAGATAAATGGCAGTTGGAAACACTGCTGTCAAATCTATTTTCATCATTTTTTATGATTCGTTCATTGTTACTAAAGTCCAGTAAGTCAAATGAGCAAAATTGAACGAAATATTGCCATAACATCGACAAGGTTTCGTATCATATGGATAAAATCATGACTAGAGAGTTAGGCAGTAACAGACGGGCTTATAAATTCTTGAATGCTTATATTATCATTTGCGAAAGTTTGCAAACTTTATCATTTCATATATACACACACTACTACGAATTATTCATATTTTACAGTATCACAACAAAATTATATCTGTGGGCACGGCAGTGTCCCCGCCAAGTCTAGCGCAAAACAACACTGCCGTATCATCCTTGTCTGGACTTGGTAGCAAGCTTATCTTATGTAAAAAAGTTACTTGCTGACTGTTCCCACTAGATAGCGCTGACTGTATTTTAAATAATAATAAGTTTTGGGTTATTAGATTGTTATTATTATTGAAACTGATTATACGTCTCGTCAGCTTTCTGCAAAAAAAAGTGAAATCCCACCTCAAACATTCTGTAAAAATAGCCAAGTCTCGATGGAGCTGCTTGTTAATCTCTAAAAAGTAAATAAATATACATACAAAGTTGAGCCAAGTCTAAGGTTCCTTACTGCAATTTTTATATTATTATATTTAATGTTATGTGACTTGGCCGTTGACCTGTAGCCACTTACATTAACGTGTAAAAAAATATGAACGGCCGATCATATAACTTTAAATAGATATATGAGATAGATATTACTGAATTAGTGTTACGAGTCCCATGAAATTAATTTTCTGACCCTCGTGTCTTGACTTCGCAATCTACTCGTCTGTTCAAAGATTTAGACGCTGCCTCATATTCATAGTCCCTTGCAAGTTTAATAATCTTAGTAAACAAGTAATAGAGTTTTGCATGATTACATTGCAATAATCAGTGTAACTGCAGAGTTTACTTGTCAAAGGGTCAATTAAAATATAACTAAGAATTTTTGTTTTTAATTATTTAGAACGTTACTTAATAAATTATTACATTTTGAATTCTACTTTACGGTATCTGAAAGTTACTTAACCAGTATAATATGTCAAATAATTAATTATGTAGTTACATTACAAATAAATGAGTCTGTAAAGTTAATTGTATTGAGTAATATTCCTTAAGATCCTCTTCCTTCTCGGTTTTAACCGACTTTAAAAAAGAAGGAGGTTCTTTTTCGACTGTATGTTTTTTTTGTGTGTTTGTTACGCGATTTTCAACAATTTTACAAACATTATTTTTTGTATGTCAGCTTAATGGGCCGAGGTGATCTCATTTAAATTTTATCGAAATTGAATCAGTAGTTTACTTTTTACAACAAAATAAAGTATGATTTCTTTTATTGATATCATTAAAATATTATAGTGATACCAATACAAAATATTTTTACTTTATTTATAAGATTACTAAATCTTTTTAGAATCGACATGAACTATTAGAATTTATGCTTATTTATTTGTACTGGCGGTCGAAATTCGATCATAATAAATTTCAATTAGAAGTTATTACTGAAATCGAAAATCTTTTGACATCCAGTAAGACCACAGTAAACATCACAAACATATAAATTGATGTCTATGGTAAACATATGAAACTTGACACTGGCTAAACGCACAAACCGTGCCAAGCCAATATTAAAAAGAAACAAACTCTATGTCAAAAGAAACAATTCGACCACAGAGTACATGTATGCGTGTAGCAAATATTCGTTTGTTGTGTTAAATGCATAGTAGTGTGTGTGATGTTTTTATCGATTATATGTACTTTATAAGCTTTAATATTGAAAAATATTAGCTGTTTGCACTTCTCCTACACATTAACTATAAGTGTGCCTAATGTCATACTCCTCCGTCCTCGCAATTTTCGTAAAAAGGGGCCCAAATTTTTTGCTTCACGTATTAATATATAGATAAAAGTGTAAATGTATAAATACATAAGGCGATTAAGATATTTAAATGTTTTTAATGAAAGCTATTAGTTATTTATTACTGACCTACAATTTTTTTTGGAAGCACTTAAAAGTACAAACTAATTGCAAACGTATGCAAATCTAAAGTACACAAAAGAACTTAATGCTTTAGTAGTAAACTTTCCTATCCTAAAGTCGAAAAAAGGTTGAAATTACTCAACAGTAGAAATTATGGTGTTCGTAACCACGGATCCGGAAGTGAAGTGTGGCTAAATTTGTAGAGCGTTATGCTTCAAATTACTTGATTGTTGTCTCCACTCGACGCTAGATGTCGTTAGCAAAGTATCTCTCCCAAGCAAACAGTAGACGTGACCTTTATACTGTTGTCATTAATTTTTTATTAGTTAATCGAGATAACATGCCATACTTTTTTTACTATTTCAGATATGTTTTCGGGAAATAATTTTGATATGATTATGTACCTTGAAATCGTAAAGAAAAGTTATAATCCTACAGGGACATTAACAAACTTGATGACATTAACTGAATATTTAAGTTTATATTGTGAGATAAATTAAGGTTTATGGTACCGTAAATAATATAAAATTACGTTTTAATTATCAAAATACGTAATTGCTACACTACAATATTCAGAGTAGTGATACCTACATATTTTATAATTAAAAGCTAAGCCCGGGAATTCCGACTCAATCTAATTCAAACTCAAAATTTGTTTTTTTTTAAGAATCTTATTATACATACGTTGCTAATGTTTGTGTGTCTTTTTTAAGCAAACAAAGAAACGATCAAATCTTTCCTCTGTATATAGATCGTTATGAATAGACTCCGAAATTGCTCCCTTTTGAAAAATTCTTTCATCCTCGGGAAACTTCATCATACACGGGTGACGTAGACTTTAATTTACGAGGGCAGGTTGCGTGGGAAGAGCTGGTCTTCACTAAATTCTTAAATAAGTAATTTTTAATAAATGGATATTAATATAAGATATCAATAAATTAATTAGATAAAACACGTAGATGTTATTATTACTACGAATAACTTCCTACGCAAATGTAAAAGAGTAAAAGATTGTGTGACAAAAGCTCGTTTTTGTCACACAATCTTATTAAATGTTTAAATAAATGTAGTTATACTAATTATAGCAAGACTTTATAATGCAATACGAACATTATCAAAATCAAAACGTAGGATAGAACATCTTATTATTAGTGATGTTACGGAGATATTACGTTTCATTTTACTACTTTAACATTATTTAATAAAGAGCAACGAATGCTAAAGAATGATGGTTAAGGATTTGACAGCAGTATTAACAACAGATGTTTGACCAGTTAAAGTAATAAAATAAAATGAAATATCGCCGTAATATCGCTAATATGTCGTGTTCTTTGGCTAGAGAGTTAAGCGATAGCCCCCTTGTCTGGTACATATAGCAAATAAACGAGTGTTAGTATTATTGTATCTAATAGACTTCCATAGCAGAAGGTTTTTAGCTACTTAAGTTATTGTCTACTTAATATTTATTTATAGACGGTCGCATTAAAAATTGTTGTCGATTTTTATTACAATTGATGTTATTACCTTAAAAATGACAGAAATCAGTTTTTTTCTTAAATAATGTTTGAATACTATCAAATCTACGCTGGGCCGGAACTCGCTTTTGTCCCTAACCGCGTGTTTCCGCCTCACGCGGAACGGAAACCGGTCCGCAGCGTGTAGTTAAATACCACGCCAACTGAAGCGTCTCGACACCACCGCTTGTTGCGGAACGTCAGTCCCCCTTCGTCCGTCGAGCGGACGATCCGTATACACGCAACCTCCGTGTCAATTTGTTTCGCGCCAATCCGCTCACCGAGACGTCCACAACGTCAGTGTTGCAAGCTCTCTACTAACATTTCGAACCACCGTCTGCTTTAACCGTAGTGACATAACTTTTTAGTTACAATGTTTGACACGGAAAAATTTATAATGGCAATAGAAGCTAGACCTTGCTTATGGAAAACTGCAGATGAAGGGTTTAATAACCGCGTTCTCAGAAGGCTAGCTTGGGATGAAATTGCAAGGGAGGTAACCGAAAATTGGGACACATACTCGACCGGTAAAAAAGGAACTATTGGTAAGATTTAGTTTATATGGTGATTTTTAGATTATTTCGGTTCAGAGTATTTTTTAGACTAATTAATATATTTCATTAAGTACAGCTTTATTTTATCAGTCACAAAATAAATTTGCGACATATTATAATTACAAATTCACTTAATATTGTCAATCTATATGTGTGATTTGTTTTTACAGTGGATGAATTACAAAAGAAATGGAGAAATCTGAGAGACTATCATATCAAATTGAGAAAAAAACATAAAGTATTAAAGCGTAAAGCTAGCTATTTAGACCTATTAAACTTTCTAGATGCCAATATGCAAGGTTCACACGATAGCCCTCGGGTCAAAAGAAGACGTTCAGACACTGATGATATGCAACCTCAAATTAAAAGAAGTTGTTCTCAGTCTGATGATGATAGCGATGAGTACAACAATGATGAACATATTTCGACTGTCAGTCATATGGCAGAACCTACTTATGAAATTCCCGTCGAAAATGACATTACATCTGATCCATTTCAAACATCGGTATTAACTAACATGTCAAATTTTAATGATGACCCAGACAGAAGCTTCCTTATGTCAGTATTACCTGACATGAAAACAATGAATGATATACAAAAGTTTCAATTCAAATTGGAAACAATGAAACTAATAAATAAAATAAAATACAAACTAGAAGATACTAACACTGAAGAGAATATTGGCAATGGTGAAAACAAGAGTTACACCCTAGTTGAACCATTAAATGAATTTACACAAAACTAAAAGAAAATACAAAAATTTCATTCTTAATATTTTTTAATTAATCAAATATTAAACGAAAAATAAATAAAAAAACAGTGAGACGAGATGTAAATAATAAATTTGTTGATTCCAAAATAAATGATATTTTAATTATTGTATGATTTTATTACCCACTCTTATACATTAAATATAAATACATATTGAACTATCAGAATTCTTTCTGATAATTGTAGTCTGTAACAATTTAGCTAGTTACGGTAAATAACCGTGGTCGTACCAAATAATGAACCAAAAATACACAAACATTATATTATCGTACGTATGACAACACTGGCAGAAACGACGACGCAATGCACTTATCAAGGACAGTGAGAACTCGATTAGATTGCGCTACGCCTTACTTCATATGAATGCGCTTCTATTGAATCAGTTTTGAACTATTTTTTAATTATATTGTTTTTATATGTCCACTAATTAATTGTAATTGGTGCAGTTTTGACGACAGTAAAATGCTATACGAAATAGTTTGTCAGTCAATCATGCCAAAACAACTGAAAGGATTTTGATGAATTTTGGTATTAGGTATTAGCTGACTAAGATAATTTGTATCCCATTAAACATTTCCCTAGGGACCATGCGGGTGAAGCCGCTAGCGAAAGCTAGTGTGTTATAAGAAACTATTAACAGACTACGAATCTTACCGTAGTAAATCAATAATAACTTGTCGAATAAAGTAAATAAAATTTATCAATTTTAATATATAAGGACATGACTTGCAGCTACAACTATGTAGCAGAATAAGCTTTACAGTTAACATAAAGTTTGTTTTTACATATTCGACCGATTTTAATTTACATATTACTAAATCTATACTACCTTCCCACATACAAACTTCTCAAAACTTGCTTTCAAACGCTTAGTACGCGAATTACGGCTTTTTTAAAGCTCTCCACTAAAACTATCCAATTGACTATTATAGTAAAGAATGTCTAATGGCATTAAGGCCGCCATTTGTGCAATTTTATTAATGTCAATAAATAAATAATCATAATATTATTGGGTCCAGTTATTTTAGACTTTTTAACTACATTTTCAGAGTCAAAACGTAACTGAGGTACATGCATGCTCTAGGAGAGAATGGGCTATTAATCACCACGCGGGCCTACTGCGGATTGGTGGTTGTTAACGACTGCAGATGCAGCCGCAATCAACGGCTTAACGTGCCTTTCAAAGGACGGAGGAGCTCCAATAAATATTTGGTCACCCATCTTATGAGCGACCCTTGTAAATGTAAACAAAATGAAGTTCATTATAAGTTGTATTCAGCAGTTTTAAATTATATTCATAATTATGATAAACCAGAACCAAATGATAAATTAGGCGCCCTCTAAAATATTTATTTACCACAAATAAGAACGAACACTATCTACTTGCACTAATTAGTTTCAACATGTGGCGGTTTCTTCCATCTTATGATATCAATTTATTTCCTATTGGTTTAGGCACCAAACTTAGTAATATATTAAAGTAAGCCCCCCTTTATCGCTTCGTTATAAATTCCGTCCGATTATTATTGGCATAAATAGTCGACTATAAAGAATTATATTTATGTTAATATATCATAATTTTTCAAATATATAAACACTAATTCATAGTATAGTTTTTGCTTTCTATCTCATTCAGAGCTGTAGGCAATTCTGCTAATTACAGCGTAATAGGGATGATGGCTGGGTAAAAAAAATGCAATTCTATTTAGTCCGTCAGTCAGATAATAGAAAAATATTAGATACGTATTTTTTTTTACTTCAATCTAACAAGAAATAGCTTAGATAACAGGCATTAAAGTTGAGGAGTGGGGGCTTGCTACGTCACAGTTGAGTAGAAAACGTACCATAACGTGACGTCATGCGAAATTTCAACTCAATGTAACGCCGTAATTTTATGATTACGAAAAAATTCAAAAAATACGTGATTAATATTTTTTAACACTCTACCTGACGGACAAACAAACAAAAATTAGTCATCATCCCTATTATAGAAAGTCAAAAGAAATAGAAAGTCAGCCTCTAACCCTCTATGGCACAGTTGTTGTTACTAGATCACAAAAATTAGTATGTATATTTGTCACTATTGATTTATATGATAGACGTTGCATTTATAATATTGGACTTCAGGTAGGTAGTACAATTGAAAAATGCAAGTAGTTTAGATTTTATTAAAATACGATTATTTTTTAAAATTAGCCGACTTGAGGCACTGCAGACCTGCAATACTGTTAAGTATAATTAACAGTCTTATTATAAACCGACGATTTAACTTATAACTTAGTTTAAACTATTGGCTAACTAAAGCAAATTGACAATGATAGGAGAGACGAGGTCAATTCGAAATGTGTTGACATATTTTGATCAAATAATGGTTAAAAACTGATACAGATAGGGTAAAGTTAGTATTCTAACGCAACGTCGAATACAATGCTCTATCAATAAACCATATAAAACCCTAAAGGTAATAGAGGTTTTATTGAATTGGACCTCTAATGCTGTGACAGTGACAAAACCGAAAATGGACTAAACAAAAAAAAATTCATTTACAATATTAAATATATTTTTCGTGTTAAAAATAAGGACGTTTTACGTGGACCTACCATAGAAATTCTACACGTGTAAAATGAGATTAAAAAAAGCAATAGGTAATAATTTTAAAAGTTATTAATGGTTTTAGCTCACTGTAAAATGAAAAACTTAAATAGAATAGTAAGTAACTGATTGCAGTAGGGTTGCCAGAAATGATTTTGTATTATATAAGTATATTTTCATGTCAGTATTTATTAAAAGAATTCCGTAAAAAACGGAATAGTTATAGGATTACTCGGTTGACTGTTTTTTTTTTGTCACAATTACCTTTCTCCGAAACTACTGCGCCGATTGAGTTGAGTTTTAATCTTCTTCAACCGAAAGTTACCTATGCAATGCTGAATGTAAGTCTCTCCTATGCTCTTCCACTCTGAGTGGACCCAACTGATTTTTATTTCATCTTTTATCTGTAAACTTTGTTATATTATTAAAACGTAACTCTATAATATTACAATATTGCAGAGCAAAGAGTGTGTATTTATTATACCATTAAAGTTATTAAAATAAAGTAAATTTTTACTTACTTGAATAAAAACATTTTCTTACTTGAATAATGATGATCATTGAATCGCTTCACATAATTACTGCAAAAAGATTATCTATTGATTTATTAGTGTTTATATGATAGATAAGTCAGTGAATGGTAATAATTATCAATATTAGAAAAAGAAATACAATAAATATCGGCATGCATTAAAAAAACACCTTCCATTCTTAAAAAGATGATTGGACGCGATGCGAAAACACAAAATTATCCTCTTGGTTTCAAAAATCTCTTATGGTTTCGTCAAAATTGTCACAACCCTACGTATGCAAGAAATAGAATGACGTCACCGTACCATCGCGCGCGCCGCTCCGTCCTCACACCCTCGTCATCTCTCTCCTGTAATCGAAAATATCGTTACTTCGATTCTTTATTTATATCCGTGCGATGTCTGGAAATGTTTAGAAGGAGCGTTAAGACCGTTTATTGCCGCATACGTAATCAATAAACTTGGAGTTTTTTTTTAATTTTACGATATAAAAGAGCTCCAGTAAAGCTTGCAACGTCTGCCATTGTTTAAACTAAAATAGTTTACACTCGTTGAATGTTGCGCAATTTGTATTACTTTGTTATATTTATCTTCTTATATCTGTGTTTTTAATGTTTTCGAGTAAGAAACCTTTTAAAATTATTCAATCTTTGTTAACTGAACCTTGAATCTAGTTACAAGTTTTAACAATCGCTTTAATCTCCAAAGTTGTTATTGAGTTATAATATCTTTATTAAATACTTTACATTTCAATTACTTCCCTTTATTTACAGATGGAACAATTTGTTGCCGGTCTATGGCGACTATGTATGCAAATGGCTTACTTATGCCACATTCGCACTGTAGGGGAGGCCCTCGTATCACAATTAAAATATGCAAATCGAAGATATTACCCACTACTTTTCATTCCACCTCGGTGGACTTTAAATCGTCTCACCCTCCGACGACTATGGCAAAATTTTACAGGACAGTATATACACAAACCTTTTTTAAGTAAAAAAAGAAAAAGAGAAGACCCCTGGTCTTACTTAGGGTTTAAAAAGGTTTAAATAACTTACTAGATTTTTTAGGTAGTCCCTACTGATATAAATGAAGGAAGGCAAAGAATCACAAACTGTTTTTCGCATAAGTCGAAAAAATCTGCAAAAAGGTGGATTTATATATTTCTTTTTGTTAGCAACATGATTGCAATTTACAAAAAAAGTTACCTAAAAGATACAAAGAATAGTGCATATTGGTAATAAGATTTAAATATTTATCAATACTCGCTTAGCGTGACATGAGGTATATGTATGCGCCAGGTCAAGGGCATCACAACATGATCGACGTATGAATGATGCACTTATATTGATGTATAAAAGGTAATAGTGACTGACTTAGCCATCAACGAACAGCTCAAACTTTCGGTTAATCTAGAGATCTATTTATAGCTTATTTATTTTACACATCCATCATTAAATATTTTACCAACATACATAGAATTGCAAAGCAATCAAGTATGAAGTACTGAAATAACTTTTAATATTATTCTTTATAGAACTATAAATACATTTTAAAATAAGATAATTGAGTCCGTTAATCGATCGCAAATTTGCTGAAATTGTTTAGAATTTTCAATTTTTTCTTATTAACAATAATTTAAGAAGGAAATTCGATATTCCATATTAGATATTACGTTCAAAATTTTATATCCATCGGTCCAATAGTCCCTTAACAAATTAGCTGTGTCACAAGGAAAGACAAACAGACACGCGAGGATCCAGGAACGCTTTTGTTTTGCCTTTTAATGTACGGATATCTAAAAATTTCCTTTGCTGGGTTTCCAAAATGGAAAAGGCGTGCTGTCAAATAATATGCTTACTGCCGCACAGTGTGTTTGTTTACGTAATCACTGACAGTTCGTTGAATAGTGTTCCAGTCGGGTATTTTCGAGTGACCTTTCCCGTTAGCCAATCACATGTTCACGGTGAAGTGGGCTCGATGAGTTTTGCATTTTGTTTTGTTTGTGTCGCAAATGTCGTTATACGATAGCCGCTTCCATTTCAAATAAATCTTTATTACTTAACGAAGTGTACTATAACCTTATACAAGAAGTTTGTTCAGAATAACTATGGGTCCTGTACTTCATACTTTTTAAAGAGTACATAATATATATTAGGTCCTTACATATGAAATTGGCGTTTTGTCGTACTGGCCATTTTAATCACAAATTTCGACTCCTTGGTTGGGAATTCCAAATTCAAATTTATACAGCCATTTATTTACACGTGTATTTGTGTTCCGTTAGGCAGCATTCATTTGTTTTTTTTTTCTTCTGTTTGTCCTATTTACGTCACCCAGTATAAAAAATGGAAAACTTGAAATATCGTGTTATTTTCGAGTACGAGTTCCATTGGTACCAACCATTGCTAAGGAAACGGCTCGAAGGGTTAATTATGTGTATGGCGGTTGTGTCGCAAAAGAAAACACAAAGCGTTTTTGATTCCAACGTTTACATTCTGGAAATTTCGACCTGCAGAACAAGCCCCGTGGATGGGTGGAGACCCAAGTTAATAATGAAGAATTGAAGGCTATTGTGGAAGCGGATCCATCGCAAACCACGTCTGAGTTAGCTGCAGGCTGCGGTGTTAAGGATAAAAGTTGAAGCAAATTGGAAAGATTAAAAAGCTTGAAAGGTGGGTACCCCACGAATTGAGTGAAGCAAACCGACAAACGCGCTTCGACTGCTGCGTTACATTACTTAACCCAATAATGAAATGATTTTAAATAATCGGAAGCGCTCAAAGCAATGGTTGGACCCTGACATGCCAGCCAAATCCTGCCCCAAGCTAAAATTGACCCCTAAAAAGTTACTTGTAAGCGTTTGGTGGACTAGTGCCGGTGTCGTTCATTACAGATTCTCTAATCTGGCTAGACGATTACGACAGACTTTTATTGTCAGCTATTGTAAACCATGCTGGAAAAACTAGCTGTTA